CCAGCTTTCCGACTCCACACTTCTCAGCAATTCATCTTCGCACACAAATCCATTGCTGCCGTGAATCCCTTCCGCCTTGAATCGTGGACTCATTGGTTCTTTGCCAGATTTCCTTCTCCTTTCTCTCGGCCCGCCGCCCAACCATACCTTCATACATACAATGCCCAAGTCTGCTTCGCTGTAAACTGCACTCGGTTTTTTTTTGTTTCTTTTTCTTCTTCCCTTCCTCTCTCCCCATTGAAAGCAAATTTCTCTTTGCTCGCCTGACTTCTCCTCTCACGTTGTCACCCCCCCCTCTGAAGAAGTGTCTTTTACGTCTTCTATTCCCTAGCTGATAGAGACGTCTTATTCTCGAAAACCCGATGAACGACGCACTCTAATTGCATCACTCATCGATACGGACATGATTAACAACACCATTTTCACTCCTCGAATGGTATTGGCCCTAATAAATCCTGCATCTTGACAAAAAAGAAAGGATTTATTTCTTTTTTACCTCTTCTCTCAACGAAAGCTATTCAAACACCGGAGGGGCGAAGTTGGTTTTTTGCGCGAGGGAAAGTGGTTCTATTGTCATCCATCTTTCTCAAACCTCTTCCTTTCTCCATTATCTCCTTGAACATTCTTCTTGAATCTTCCATCGTTTTTATCTTTCTTTCTCCGGTTCTGTTTAATTGAGGAGGAGGGTGAAGGGTAAGGATGATGGATTCACCACATAAGGCAAACCCATCAAAGGCAAGGCCTCATGGGAAAGATGGTGAAGATTCGGGATACTGCCTATCCCACTCTGCTTGGATGGATAATGATTCCCAAAATGTGCCCAAACAAGACTCGAGAGAGCAATCGAAAGCTTCTTCACACCACCATCACCACCGACATAGTGGTGATTCTTCTATGAACAACCATGCAATATCACAACACCCTTTGTCGCCACAATACAATGGCCTACGGTCCTCTCTTCCACCTCCATCTCCATCCCCGCCACCAAACCCTTTCCCATATCACCATCCTGAACTGCCCTATCCTTCTTTTGGGGAAGCTACTTCCCAGGGAAGCCCGGCCGCTGAAGAAGCTGACGAAATCGAGCTTGAGAGAAACGACGACAGCACAACTGCCGCCATGCTTGTTCAAATTCCCACAGGCATGCAGCTTACATCACACCAGATCAAAATACTTCAAAAGGCGGAACGATTACCCCCAATACGGACAAGCACTCTCAGCGAGCTTGACTTGAACCATATCATGAGGAATATCAACTTGAGGATAGATGTTAACTTTGATCGTGAACTTCATTTCCAGCCCATTGCAGGAGAGAAAGGTCACGAGAAGCGAAAGTTGGCGGAAGTTTATTGGGAGGCAATAGCACTGGAAATCTCTGTGCATAGCTATCAATCTACCAGCAGAAAGCAAAAGTCTGTCGATTCGTGGGGACACAAGCGAGCAACCAGCAGTTCAGTGGGAGCTTTTGAACCACGCCTACCGGCCATGCTTGAGACATTAAAGGATGTCGTAAGCAGTCTCGTTCCGGAAAGAGATCAACAAAGCGTCATGCAAAATCTAGATGTTCCCTTTCTTTTGCAACAGGTGCATAAAGGGGTACTGGATATGGTCAATCTTACCAAATGGCTTGCCACGTTGTTGAAAACCCACTGTGCACCAATGAGAGATCCATGGGCTGATAGAATGGTCGCCGAGATCAGCGAAGGTTGTGAGACTGGTAATATATACAAAATGGTAGAGGGGCTAAGAACAATGTTTGGGACTCTAGAGTCTATGAAATTGGTATGTCCCCAAATTTTCCTCTATTACATTTCTCTACAATACGTGCGAGAAGCTGAATGAACATCTTTCAGGATGTCGCAAATCACCAGATACGGGCATTCAGGGTGATTTTAATAGACGACACTGTCCGATTCCTACAAAGCGACTTGAAGAAAAGAATAGCAGCAAATGCTATAGACATTCAACAGGCAAGGAGATGGTATCTTAACCTTGGCCACCAACCGCTCTCCAAATCCCCGTATTTACAACACGAACTAAGAGGAAGCTACGCCCCCATCACTCCCCTATTTATTGGCCTTTTTTCTTTCCTGACGCCATTTGAGCATCCAAAGAGACTTGAGGACATATTTGAATTTGAGGCCGATAGACTTTGGTTTATACGGGCTGATGTACAGGACCTGATAGGGCTTAAAATATGTTCTCGCGTGTTTGAAATGGTTGCGAAAGAGCAGGGTCGACATAGACATAACCCTTACTACCAACAGGCAAAAGCTGCACTCCCGTCTCGCATTTGCAGCATCCTCGACAACTGCTCTGATGGTATGTCTTCTGGATTCAATTCCCGCTCTGTCAACATCAACTCTCCGACTACCAATCATAAATGGAAAAACAACATTGGCTTGGTCACGCTAGAGATTGCACAATGTATTTGTTCTCTGGGAGGTTACAGCAAGAGCAATACATTTCCCGACAGAAAGACTTTAGAGTACGTTGAAAAATGTCTTGACTCTTTCTTCTCATCTCCAACTGGTCAATTTCGCGAATTCAACCTGTCAGTTCAGGGGGAACTTGAGGAGGCCACTTTTGGATATGTTAAAAGATACTTAACCATGACCCCTCTCGAAATATCCGAAGATCAACGCCCTAGAGAATACCCGGAGTCAACGAAATATGCCTACCCTCAGAGGCTGCTACCAGATGTTGATGGCATAGCCAAACGTTTAGCTCATGTGGGGGTCCTGCACTGGAGAGTATGGGCTCCAGTATTATACCTACGTGATGGCCCTGGGATAACATTTGCTCCTGGAAGCAATATCAGTACAATGTACGCGACGGAGTAATTTTCACCTAGACCTTGCGTCGATGATACTCTGCTTCTCTTCCGCTTGCCTCGATTGCATTGATATACCCTCGATATCAATCAGCCATCTCTACAGACCCTAAAATATACCTGTTTCCTTTGTTCTCTGATTTACTATAGACTTCCTTTGCTTGTTCATACTCTCTCAACTTCTTTAATATTCTGGGTATCGCGGTTCTGCGACGATATTATGTCGTTTCCTTTACGAGCCTTCGATTCTGCTCCTTGTTGTTTAGCGACTTGCAGTGGGAGCAAGGTGTGGGAGTTTCTATGTGCTATTTCTACGTTTTCCTCCTGCCTCATATGTTCCATTTTTTTTGTCTTTTCAGCGGCGGATTTCTCATGAATTTAATTTGATAATTATGAGAGTATCATGTATTATGAGGATATTAAAGACAATGCAAGCTAAACATTGTATTCTCGATCGCGTTGCGCGTATTCTAACGTTATCCATCCAACAACATGGACTGTCCATGTATTAATTAATTAGTTAGTTATGTACGTAATTAGCTTCTTGTTAGGATCTTCAATAACTAGTTTCTCCCTCTGCCAATCACCGAAGAATCAACCAGTGCAAGATCACGGCCAGTTCTTCGATGAAACGAGTAACTCACGTAACAATACTCCCTCAGTCATAGAATATATACCGCTCATGACAACTGCCCCGTACCTCGCTTAGCACTATTCTCTCGGGTTCCAGACCATGCCGTCCATCATTTCCAAGTTGCACACCCTCAAAGTACGACAGCTGCAAAAGCTAGCACTGTCGATAGGAATATTATCATCAGGGACCAAAGTGGACTTGGTCAATCGTCTCTCCGAGACTTTACATACATACGACCATCAAGCGCGCGGCAAAAATGGCTTCGGGTCAAGTCACTGTTCAACAGAGACCAAGCTACAAACCCCAAACGGCCCAGGACCGATGAGCATCTTGAGTATCGATATGGGAATTCGAAACTTGGCTTACGCACATCTGCTTGTTTCCCCTGCAGTCCAGGCAAGTGATGTAAGGACGATTGAGTCTGTATATCAGCCACTCTCTGCGGCAAAGATATCCCTGAATGCATGGGATCGACTTGCAATCTCTTCGTTTCCTACCTGCGATATCCATAAGGACCCTTCGACAATGACAATTTCAAAACTGGGTGGACTACGAAAAGCTATATTTCAACCGTCTTCTAATCCGCAAGATGAAGAGGGGCAGCCTGAAAAGGAGTCCAAGGAGCATTTTGCACCATACCTATATGCTTCCCATGCTTACACGCTTATCACCTCGCTTCTAGAAGCATACAAGCCGACACACGTCCTGATTGAACGGCAGCGATTCCGCTCTGGGGGTGGCAGTGCGGTCCAAGAGTGGACTATTCGCGTTGGCGTGTTTGAGGGCATGCTCTATGCCGTGCTACATACGTTGCAGCAACAAGGGAAAGGGGAGTTTGGCAGACTCTTTGTACAGGGTGTTGACCCGCAGAGAGTGGTGAGATATTGGACTAATGATGAAGTGAAAGATACCACCCCAGATTCGAAGAAACGAGTGAGCTCAAAAGAAGGGAAAAGAGCCAAAATCGACCTAATTGGGAGATGTTTATCTCGATGTGTTGGTGTGGGTGATTTTGACAAAAGTTCAAAGCACGAAATACCCTTAGAGCTTGGCCTAGTTGAAGGGAGTCAGGCAAAGGATATTGTTCAAGCATATCTCGACAGGTGGAATGCTGGAGGTAGAACGGCAAAGAGATGTAATGACATTCGAGCTAGCATGGAACAGAGTAACGGGAGGGTCGAGAACATTGGAAAACTTGACGACTTAGCGGACTCCCTTCTACAGGGAATTACATGGCTGGAATGGCAAAAGATGACTGAAAAGTTACTGTATAGCAACGCAGTTATTCCTGCCTAGATTTTGAAAGGGGATATCTTGTCTAGTCGTTAAAAAAATAATAGAAAAGTAAAATAATCTAAGACATAATTTGGAAGAAGTTATAAAGGGTTTAGCATCAACCAAGAATCGAAGTGAATAAAATGTAAACAAGAAAGTGGCTTGTGTTGCGTAAGGCATGCAACCTAGAAGCTCCTTTAAGAATTATCTTAATTTCACCAAGCCATTATAACGTCAAATATTTAACAACATAACTCCCTAGTAAGCAAGACCAGTCGGGAAATGGTAGGCTGGAGAGCCGGTACCGTGGGGCATACCCTGGCTAGGATGGCTGTGATGGGGGGGATGGGAGGGATGGGCTGGGTGGGTGGGCTTTGGAGAAGGGAATGGAGGGGTGGCTTGGTCGGGCGACTTCATAGCTGGAGCGTGGTTACCAGCTTCAGCTTCCTGAGCCTTGGTTGGCTTCGATTCCTAGTAGTCAAATGTTAGACTATGCAAATTCGGAGTATTTTGCTGTAGCAGTTTTCTATGTAGACTTACGGTGGAGACAGTCACGGTAACAGTGGCAGTTGCCTGAGTGACAGTAGCTGTGATAGTAGCTGTTGCTTGAGTGACAGTAACTGTGGAGGGGGGAGGGCAAGGGCAAGTATTATCAGGACCTGGAGCGCCAGCTGGTGGCTGTGGAGCGCTGGTAGGAGCCGGGCCGGGATTGCCAGCTGGGTTCTCTGGAGCCTTCGTTTGAGCACTGCCGGGAGCGCCCTGGGAAGCGCTGGTGCAAACTTCGCTAACAGTAACCCATTCAGTCGAAGTGGATGTGCTGGTTGTAGTGGTGGTTCGGGTAGTGGTGGGCGGGACACTTGATTGAGGGCCAACAGGAGTCTGAAGGCTAATGTTAGTTTTCGTGCTTTTAGAACGGATATGCCAATTTGAACTTACGGGGATAACGGTGCGAGTCTCATGGGTGATAGGAACAGAAGTTGTGTACGTGTATGAGGTAACACTGTTGCCGGGTCCCAAGGTATAGGTGACTACAGAAGTAATCACAGTACAGCTTGGGTCCTGAGGAGTAGGCTTTGGGTTTGTTCCTGTGCCCATTGGAGCAGGAGACGAAGTCATTCCAGCTAAAGCGGTGTCAACTGGCTTTTTAGCAGGGGCCTCTCCCATAGAGCTGGTTGGGGTAGCATAGCCAGTGCTGAGAGGCACGCTGAGGCTGGAATCCTGGCGGTTGAAATGGCGGTATCTGTGGCGTCCATGGGAAGTGGCATCAGAGAAGGCAGCAAGGGCCACAGTAAGGGCGATGGTTGTCTTGGAAAAGAAATGCATGGTTGCTGTGTGGAAGAATCGGGAGTCGCAAGTTGGTGATATAGATCGAAGCAGAGCCTGTAGAAATAAATCAAACGAGGGACTTGACGAAATCAATTCGTCTGAATGGCTCCTGTCAATGAATGTCACGCACTTCTCAGAGAGAGGCTGATGGAGCAAAAATGAGGGTATGGCTCTGCCAGAGATGAAAGGAGAGACTGGACGACGAAAAAGACAACGTGGAAGAGCGGGCAAAGGGAAGGGAGGGATGCGGCGAGCGTGGGCACCGACCCAAGTATATATATAAAGGCGTGTTTGACTCAGGGGGGTCCAAGACCAGGGTCCTTTTCTTTCTCCCGGCTTGGGTGGCCTTTTTCCCGCGCCATTCTCCGTAATCCTAAAATTACACCCCTTGCTGGAACCCTGGCGAGGCAGTTCAGAATACACCGTCTTCTCCCTCTGCCTCCAGTCATCTTATCTGGTTTGAGGATGGTGTGCCGGCCGCCTCCACCCCTCAAGATGCCCAGCCAATTAAGGGACTGCGTTCCACGACTTCTCTCTCGTTCCTTGCATGAAAGGGCCAAACACAGAGCGGCCTCGAGGGAGAAGAGAGAGGGCCAGACTATGACGACGGGGGGGTTACAGCCAACCCTAAATTTCCTCGGCTTGCTTATCGCTGAAACAAACCTTGGGCGGGTACGAAGGATCTTCTTGTTGTCAGTGCTAATTTCCTCCTCATGTACCTTGCAGCCACTCAAGGAGAGGCATTTCGCGCGCAGATGCTCGATGGGAAACCGTATCATCGTGCAGTTGTAAAGCCAGCAAATCAAGGCCGCCACAGCCGCACTCCCATCACTCACACACCGTCTTGTATGGTCAGATGTCGGTGGTGAGTTGGTCAGTCGCTAATGCAAGGGCCGAAACCCATCAGCCACTCAGATGTCGGTGCTGCGAAGCGGGTTGGCTGTTATATTATTGTCGTCACTCCACCCAGAGAGAAACGAAATATATCCAGGCTGCGGAGAAACGAGGCTTGCCCCGTCAAGGGGCCGTGGCACCAAGTTTTTTTTCTGTTTTTCATCTTTTTCTTTCTTTCGTTTGGCTGGAAGTCATCATGCAAGTCAACACCAGCGTGACTTGCTTGCTGGCGCATATGTATTTACAAAGTATACTCCGTAAATGCCCATTTCTGCTGCTTTTCCATCTTAATTGTTTTCTCCCTTTTCAGTGTCATGACCACCAAAGAAAGTTCTCCATGTAGTTGGTGAGGTAAAATCTGAAACGCACCGTCGAGCTTGACGCTTGTATAGCTCGTTACATATAGCACAACTCTTTGTACTTTTGCCGTCGGGAGTATGGAGTAGTCTGCCTCATGCTGACCTGCATGGACGTTGCTTGGTAGATGAGTTATTCTCCCTTTCTTTTTCTCGTTTGGTAAAACCGTCGGCCAAGGCTTGCGACAAATATAAGAAGTCACCGAGCCGCCTGTTGGATTAAACATAATCGGGTAATGCAGCCGCAGCCCAACTCAACGACAAAATTCCATGGCCATGGGTCATGGCAAGATGTAAAATATTCATGCTCATTCTGGGCAGCCAGGCTTAGCCCAGGCCACAGCGGCGTGTGCAACACCCGCAGCGTGTCAATTTTTTTTTTCCTTTTCTTTTCTTTTTTTCTGTTCCTGACTAGAATTTATGCCTTGTAAAAAGCATTGCTGTGGCTGGCTTGTCTTTTCCTTTGAAAGCAACGGCTGAGCCTGGCTGTCACAGCCTCGCAACAGCGTCACTGTCAAGCGCCCAGAGTCCGTGTGTCAAGCCGTGATCTGTGGCGGGCATCATCGTCCTTGTAGGATTATTAGCCTGGCGATAAGAAGAATACCACAGTAAATATGGAGTACATTACTAGACAACCGAATGTTGGGTATCCATTATTTATGATATCGACGTGGTTAATTAGAGTAGCCGGGAACCTGGCAGGCTTCGTCCGCTTTCGTCACCTTCGTAGAATCTCCATTTTACCCCTTTTTGCTGCGCTTCGTAAGCTCCGCACTGCTTATTTTTATTATATCAGTTATCGTCTGTCCTCTTGAAGGGAGACGCTGCCATTGACGTCGCCACCATGCTCCGTGCAACTTCGGCAGATAAACGCTGTGGTGGAACGACTGCTGGTGTTGCCCTGTCGATCGCATGGGCTGACAGGATCCCGATCCCCCTCTAGAGCCAAAGTCTTGTCGACTCGTTCGCTAACCCGCAACATGTGCAACCAGGTCTCCGGTTCCTCCAGTTTCATCGGCCTGAAGATACGGGAGTTGTTTAACTATATTCGCAGCTGGTGCCTGTCTGGAGATGCAGCTAGCAGCAGCAGGCTTGTCCTCCACTCAACGATAGCCCTTGGCAAGACTTCCAAGCATCTCTCACTGTTCTCCGATAGAAGATACTGTGCCTGTGACAACGAAGTCTTCCAGTCGGTGGGTCGCTGGTTGTCGTTGTTTTGTGTTGAGATTTGAAGCGAAGTCGAGTAGACGTCAAAACGCCCCAAAGAGGAAAAGCCGACGACGGGTCAATTAATATATTGAACATCGCCTGCGCATTAACAGATATCCATATTATTTCTTTATAACCGTCGACGCACCGGCAGCAGCGGCGGTATCATATAATTAACTTGACTGTTTCGAAGTGTTGATGCGCGGCTTCAGCCCGTGTTTCTTCCGTTGCACGCCGGCTCTCGTGCCTCGATCAGTCGGCATCTCAAACATGGCAGCGCAGCTCCCGCAGCTCGACTCCCTTCGTTCGCAGTACAGAAAGTCGCTGCAGTCATTCAATGCTGGCCTGGATGACTTTCGGCTCCTGGACATCGTACCTCCTGAGGGCGAGCAGAACGCGCAGCCGGGCAGTCTCTATGTCCTGGATTCTTCGTTTAACCCTCCAACCATTGCGCATACCCAGATGGTGACCGCTGCAGTAAAGGCAGCAAACGCAAAAGGACCCCCGCCGTCAAGGCTGCTATTGCTATTAGCAATTCAAAACGCCGATAAGCAGCCAAAGCCGGCGTTATTCGAAGATCGTCTTGTCATGATGCGGCTAGCTGCCGAAGATGTCCTACAGGCTCTAGCCCAGGATACTAGCCGGGGCAAAGACGGGAGAATCTGTAACCTTGCGATTGATATCGGGGTTACGAAACGCCCATTCTTTGTGGATAAAGCAGTGGCCATTGCAGGCGACGGTAGTGTCTATCCAACGGAGGTAGAACAAGTCCATTTAACAGGTTATGATACACTAGTTCGAATTTTTGCACCGAAATACTACGCTGCCGGGGATCTTAGCGTTCTGAGCCCCTTCTTTAGCCTGCACAGGCTCCGGGTAACCCTACGCCCCGGTGGTAGTTGGGGGGATAGAGAGGAGCAACTATCCTTCCTCAGTAACCTAGCCAAGGGTGCAACAGAGGACATAGGCGCAAAGAGAGAATGGGCAAGCCGTATCGAGCTCGTTGAGAGCAATGCAGTCGACAGTGAGCCGATAAGCTCAACTACAGCTCGAAATGCAGCCAAAGACGGTCTGGAGCTGCTCTCCAAGCTTGTCACGCCGCGAGTTCTTGAGTATATCATGAGCAAACACCTTTATGCCACTGACGATTAATTACCTGTAAACTCCGTATCTCATATGCCCATGAATCCCCACCGCATCTTACAAAGGAGGATGATATGTTATCCTACTATTACTTACATGCTAGCCAATTTTATAGTCACTCCAAACCAAAATAAATCTACTAGGGGTTTCGTTACTCTTCATCTTCTCGTGTCCCAAGAACATAAGCCATTCCTCCGCCAACCAGATTCGCCAGACCAACGCCAATAGCAGCACCTCTCACCATGCCTCGAGCACTCCATTTCTTCCTAAACTCTTGCTTCCTTCTCCCAGCAAGTAGGATATATAAACCGGACCACGCGGCGCTCGCACCGGCAGCATCCTTCTTGAATCCGGCCAAGTTCATGTAGGACGTGAGCAACAGCACCGGCGGAAATATCATTGGCACAAACTGGAACGGACGGAAATGGAGCGCGGTCACAAAAGTTGCGAGCAGTGTCGGCGGGAACGATGATTCTATTGGCAATTCAATTCATCAGCGTGTCAGTGAGCTGTTTCACAGTTCAGGCTCGCGGTTCAAGCTGTCTTGAACATGACAAGGTCTTCTCTAAGAGAATCGACTGGAACCAAGTACCTCCCCATGCTCGAGCATACTGTGCCAGTGTTGGCTTTGGCTTTCCAGATGTTGTTGAAGTCTCGAGGTCTTTAGCCATTTTGTATCACCGGCGATGTTTATAGTTGGAATGACGAGTATATCAAGGGAACAGTGTTCACAGTTCGGGGCGCTTTTCACAGGCGTCAAACAAATAACAGCCTAGCTCTCGCGGGCCCCAATTGTTCTCGTCAAACGTGAATACGGCCTTGGTATCCTGGCGAGCTGTCTTGAATGTTGTCGGCGGCTTTGATGTCTTTAGAGAGAAATTTCTTGGGTTCGTTTTTTTGGCCGTGCAATATCACGTGATGTGTCTTGAACATCTTGCTGGCAAGAAACGAAATATATTATTATTCCTGAGAAAGTCATCGCCAGCACCGTCGGAGTCCTCGTCATTCGAAAAGGCCGATAACCTTGGGCAGATTCCCTGTACACACCTCTTACGCCCCTTAGGACTCGTTTTCGTGGGCTCCTTTATATAACTACGCTCTCCCACCCTTTTTTTTGGACGGCAACGCCCTTTGCATTGGAAGATTCGCCTGCCTACACAGGTTTTCGGTATCTAGCGTCGATATACCGGTTGATATACGTCTTGCCTCTTGCTTCACCATAATTATTGCAAGGAGCCTGAGATTATGCCCTCTGCGACCGCAACTGGTGCCGACAGGCCCAGTGGTGCCCATTCTCGCCAGCACAATCAGGGAAACCAAGATAGGAAATACACCCCAGAGCAAAAAGCGGCAGTACTAAGAGTGCGGAAATGCTCTGCTACAGCGTTTTATGAGATTCTCGCAGTCGAGAAAACCGCGACAGATGGAGAGATTAAGAAGGCTTATCGGAAGCTCAGCTTGTTGACCCACCCAGACAAGAACGGCTACGAGGGTGCAGACGAAGCATTCAAGAGTATGTACGCTCTCTATAGAATTTTTTTCTATTCAAAGGACATACTCTAATGAGGGGGGGAATAATGTGTAGTGGTATCGAGGGCATTCCAGATATTATCTGATGCAGACAAGAAAGCCAAATATGACAGATTTGGCGGAGACCCAGACAACAGATTCAACGCTGGAGCGTCGACATCTTCACCTTTCGGTGGCTTTGGAGGCTTCCAACCACATCCCGGACGGCAATATGCTTATGAGGAGGAGATTTCTCCGGAGGAACTCTTTAATAGATTCTTCGGCGGAGCTGCAGGCGGAGGATTCGGACCGTTCGGTATAGTTTCTCAAGCTTCTAATGGACACTTTGGCAATGTTCGAACTTTATCACTAACAAATACCGCAGGAGGTGGCATATTTGATGGTGGTCCCCAGTTTGTCTTTAACATGGGAGGCGGCCCCGGTTTTCGTGTACATCAATTCGGAGGGAATCGACCACGAAGACGCCCGAGAGATACGAATGAGCCAGATCCCTCCCAGACGCCTCCAGGAGTTGCATCTCTCACACAATTTCTCCCTCTCCTCCTACTATTTATCCTACCCTTCCTGTCCAACCTGTTTAGCAGCACTTCGCCTTCAACGCCATCTTTCAAACTCCACACCCCAGATCCACCACATACGCTCCAACG